GGAACGAGAACCTCCGAGATTTCAGTGGGCAACTCTGTGGCGATGGGCCCTGAAGATGACTTTCCTCGCCACAACTCTTCCGCAGAGACATCACTCAGCTCAAAGGCGGTGGCTCTGAAGCTCTTTAAGGGACAATTACATGCAACAGACCTCAGGGATGAACAAAGTGAACAGCCTCATCGCGTCTTAGGTATGGATTTCTGCTGGGGACCCGTGATCAAGAAGGTGATTACAGGGTTTTTAAGGAAGTATTCAGACACCTGCTGTCTATTTGTGTGGTTGTGCTGTGCAGTTTCACTTCCTCAAAGAGCATCTGAAAATAACACATGATGCTGGCTACAGGGCAACCAGGAGTGATCACACAGCACAGGCCTTACAAATCAAGTGACAGGGAAATGCGGATGATGTAATTTAATCCTCTGGCTAAACCACTGCCATGCAGCTGGCAGTGTATGCACAGTGACACAGCCCTGATGGATCAAGATTTCCAGTATCTTGTGGCACAAAAAACATCTCAATTTGTCCCCTGCTCACCGGCGCCTCCTGATCCATCTGATTTTTCCTGCCACTGGGTCTAACTGCTGTGGGCTTATCCTAGGCCCTGGCTCCAGGCTTGGTTACCCCCTTCTCCTAACAGATTCCAGATGGAGTAGTCATAATAATAATCCAACGCTTTAGCCAGTAATCCTGGGTGAGCGCTGGGAGCCGCTGAGCCGTGCAGTCAGTTTATCCGGAGCCGCACCAGACTGGAGTTCAGCATGCCGTTCAGAGAATCCCTGCTACGTCTGCACTATGGTCAGAACAAGCTACGCAGTCCACAGGCCTGACGGGCTTCGTCAGACACTACGGCTCTGTTGTCCACTCCAGCATCCACACCTTTAAAACAGGACAGCACTCTACAGGAAAACCTCAGGTGAGAGGTCAAGTGATTGTGTGAAAGACAAATTCAGGATTCAGGTCCGGATTGAGTTCTTCACCGGACACATGTGTAAAACCTGGAAGTATATGATGGCCAATCGCTGGTCCAGATCCCATTCCTGCATTGCAGTCTCTGAGCTGTGCTTAGTATAGGCCTGGGCATTGCACAACAGTTATCTTAAAAAGTTATCACGCAGAAGCACTTAGCACAATGACATCAGCAAACGCTTTTATCCAGAGTGATTTACAGAGCTGAGAGGATGAACTTTGCAATCCAAATCTGCAACAGGTCTTGTGCTTTTACATCTCCTCCGAAGGACAGAGCTCAAGGGGGCTCCTGGGGCTCCATTTGGGTCACGTACAGCGGCTCAACTGCAGGATTTGAACTGGGAGCCTCCTGCTAGTGATGGCTCTTCCTTCACCACAGGAATGCCAAGCTTCAAGGATGTTGGAAATCATTTAGTCTCCCACGTCAGCCAGCAGTTCATGTTTCAATGCTGCAGAACACAGCCATTGTTTGGTTTCGTCTCCTTCCTTGCTGAATGCCCAGTAAAACCCAGCTACCCTGTCAGCAGCAACCCAGTGGAAAACTGAAAGCAGGCTGCTGTTACTTCAGGGTGCTATGCACATATCGTTACATCAATCAATTTGCACTCATTGAGAATGGGTTTTCTGTTCTTAATAAAAAAATATATTATTGAGAAATTTCATCAGACCGGGAGCCTTTCCAGATTTAAAGATGATACATGTCCATAGTGATCTATCGGATAAAATGATATTTTTCATTAAATGTCAGAGACAAACTGCAGCTTGACAAAAAGGGTTCAGGCCTCAAAATCAGATTTCTAATAGACTTGAAAAAACAAAGAAAAAGGTTTCACATGTGGTCAGACTCAAGACGGATCACCTGTGCTCCTCTGAAAAGGAAATGCCTTCTGGAAAAAAAATCACAAATTCTTCTGGAGACACGGCAATACCAGGAACTGGGATGTAAAAAGATCTGGTTTAAATTACGTGTCTCTGCTTTCAAAAAGGGGACGTTGCTCACCAAATCATTGACGGATTTGGCAGAAAACATCTTACCTCGACACTAAGACAGCTGTTCTTGTTTACTAACTCTGCTTTGCAGAAAAGGAGAGGAAGTCTGTGCCTCCTCTTCCTTGTTCACATGGCTGTTTATCAGAGCATGAGACTGCTCTGTAAGATTCCCCATGTTTCACTCCTAGCCCCCACCCCTTCAACCACATGGCCTTAAAAATTGAAGAGTTAGAGCGATCCAGAAAAAGCAGAAGGTTCAGGATCTCCAGGACTGAGCTGGTCTGGGAGGATCCGGAATAAAACGTGTGTGGTCGAAAAAGTTAAATCATAATGTCATTTTCTGAAAAAAAATAGGCACTTGATGATGATGTTGAGCTGTCTCGTCTTTACAACCAGAGGCATGGTGATGTCACTATGGTGCATCAAAACTGATGACATGGATTCAAGGGGTCCGTGGACGTGGATCGGCGATCAGACACCAAAGCATCCAGTGTGCTCCTAACTGTACGCATTACTGCCATTGCTAGACTTGGTGTTTGATCAAGCACTGTTTACAGACCCTAGAAGCGCCACCTGTTCTTGCCTCAGATTCATGTTCACTCGCTTAGAAGACAAAAAACAGGTGCAACAGGGCTCAGCTGGAACGGGCTCATTCTTTCTGACAACGAAGTCAGCGTCAGTGATCGGAGCCCCAGCACTGATGTCACATGTGCAGTCTGTCTTCAATGGGATTTATTCCACTTGTCTCACTGGTGCTTCACATAACCCCCACACCAATAAACCTACTGATCCTAATCATGGGGCCCTGCAGGTTTGGAGCCCCTTTCAAACTGCAGGAGGCAATATGTCACATTACTGTAACTGTCTCACTGTACACCCTCTGTTAAACATGTGCGTGCCATGCAGGCACCAGCTTCGAGTTTCGCTCCTGTTGCGCAGTTTCCAGGCCAGAGACTCTGCTCGTTCCCAGCGGAACATGTGGTTCGATCACAAGCCAGGACTGAGGCCCACAGTGACAGCAGGGGGCTGAGCGGAGGAGGAAGTGGCGAGGGGAGGGCGGCTGTGTCCCTCAGTGTGATCGCTGGGCACTGTGTCTCTGGGGCTGGGGTCCTGCTGAGCTCAGAGCTGGCAGCCTCCTCAGGAGCCATCAATTATTCACGCAGCTCTGCCCCTCTTCCCTTCCGCTTGTCTGCCTACACCTCCCTGTCTCCCTGGCACAGCTCTCCACGCACACACCACAGCAGCGTGGGGCAGTGGGCCAAGGGCCACACACGCCCGTCCCCCAAGGCTCTCCTGCTCCAGGGCAGCGGAACGTCCCTACTGTCACACTGTCATTGCAAATCCTTTATCTGGTGACCTTCTACCCTCTCACAGGGAGAGCTGAAAGCATGCATCTACAGCCGTTTCTCCAGCGATTCATGATAAAATCACAGCTAATGGAATTTTACTGTGGCATGTTACTGTAAAAGTGGAGTAAAGTGCAGTAAACCCCAGTGAAAACATAGTAAAATGTAAAGATGATACAAATATGACAAGACCATGGGAAAACTGCAGCAACACCACGTCCATTTACTATGAAAAACTCTGGGTCTCCAGCTCTGGAAAAAGGATTTCTAGATCTCCTTGAGCTAGAAGCAGCTCTTCCCATGGGGAATTAAATTGATGCAATCACGGTTTAACTGGACTGACTGTCCCTTTCCACAGCCTTCAGGAGTTGGGGATGTAATGAGAACTGCTCTAAAAGACAGCTTTCTCAACCAGTGAATCCGAGACACAGAAGGGGAGCAGAGCAATGCAGAACCCTATTTAATTTAAAAATTAAACCCCATAATGAAGATGGAGCAGCTTTCACACAGCATGGCCTTGGGGGAAAAGTGAGAAAAGGCTGGATGAAAACAAGGCCATTTGTTAGTCACACAGTGCTTCCAGTGTGCAGGGGGTGTTTGTCTGGATGTGATGCTGAACCTCTTACATGAGACGAATGTGCTAGAACTGGGTGCCAGAATAAAGGGGACCCCACCCCCACACCCCTGGAAGTCCTCTTAATTTTTCAGAGCTCCCCACAGGGTACTGAACCTGACTTGCTGAACCTTACTGGCTGCTGCCTCACACCAGTGCAGGAGATATAGATAACCTTCACAGAAATGGGCTGAGGATCACGCCGGGCCACTCACTCTCTCCTCACACTGTGAGCCTGCAGCAGCAATGGCACAGATAAGTCATTTTAGGAGGCATCCAGGAACACCCACACAGCTCTCACTGTCAGTGCTGTTAGGTCAATTACACTTGGCAAGCCACAGGGGGTGCTATTGAGCATAATCTGGCAGCCCCCAGCCAGAGCACACAACAAGAGGTTTGCTTGGGGGAATCCTGGTCCCATATGGATGATGAAATTCCCAGATCTGAACTGGGTGATTTCCAGCCTACAATCTGAAAAGGGGCCACCTACCTGTAGAGCCACTCAGGAGATCCCCGATTGCTAAAGGAACCCGAACACTGTCAGCACACTGCCCACACTTTTCAGCCTGTGCTTTCACAGACGGACAGAGGAATTCAAGGCTGTCAGCAAGCTTGGCTGCATGTCTTGTGGTTCAGCTACCAGGTGTGGCTGAGGGCTGTGGGTGGAAGTGAAGCTACAGGCTGCAAGAGAGGCGTAACTTACTGTTTAAGCAAGTTTCATCTTCCTAGGTGCTCCCTGCTTACTGTTTTAACAAAACCCATCCCAGGACCCACAATCCACTGAGGACAGATACCCAGATTATCCATTAACAGGCTCTGGACAGACAGTAATAATGTTAATAATACAGGAAATTGCAAGGCTTAGATTGCTAGAGAGATGCAGCGTTTGCATCCTCTCATGGTGCTCCGAACATTGCCACAGCTTGCGTTTCTTCACTTCAGAAAGATGCTTGGGGAGAGATTGGTTTGGAGATTTGCAAGCTCCGCTTCAAGTCACAGAAATAAACACAGATTAAGATTTCAAGTTTTAAAATAAGATCAACTGGCAGGTCAAGATTCAGCAAATTCATTCTGGAAGTATGCCTTTGAACAGCAGGCCTACAGATGCAGTCAAAGCTTATCTCATAACTACTGAGCAGTCTCAGCGTTGGCACAGGGCAGCCAGGACTAGTTTATGTTTTGTTCTTCTGCACTGATGAAAACATCAATTAGAATGTAACTGTGCACTGAGCAAGATTATAATGAAACCTTTGCTCCTCCAAAACAGCAAAACAACCCCATTAAAATGTCCCAGGTGTCACAATCAATCAATTGAAAGCAAATATTTGGAACGAGTAATCAATTATTCAATTATTGTCACATATATTTACTATAGGCATTGCAATCAGTACAAATCAGCTTATTTACTCATACGAATAGCTCTCAGGTCGTGCCAGTTTTCATAGTGGTGGACCTGAGTGTCTCCTCACTCCAGCTCAGCCCCTAATCATTTAACTGAGCCCTTTGCTGAATCAGTAATTTGATTGATTAGATCTATCTTGCTTCCAGCCCTTAAACAGTTAAAGATTTCAGGTTAACTAGTACATATTGAAATGTAACAAAAAATGCAATGTTTAGCAGCTGAATAATGCTGGCAAATGATTCCTTGAACAATGAATTGATGAAGGACTTCATTAAGTCCCGGAGAGCTCAGCGGGGGTTAAAACCAGCAGACACTGTGGTCACCAGGAAGAGATGTGGAAAGATCTGTGTGCGCACACACACACAGACAGACACAGGACCGCTCTCTCTCTTCCCCCTCCCCTCCACCTCTCTCTCTCTCTCCTCCCTCTCACTCCCCGCCCCTCCCTCTCACCCTCCTGCTGTAAGGACGTCCCAGTCAGTCGTCTGCGGAGCAGGTTGTCAGAAGAGCGAGCGAGATCGCTGGCAGGAGTCAGAGGCAGACGGGAGGCGGACGCTTGCAGGAAACAGAGAAGGGGGCTGGTGGAGGCAGAGCGAGCGTAGGGCAGAGAAGAGAGAGAAGGTGGGGGTGAGGAGGAAGAGGGACGTCTCGCCAGCAGGAGCGAGTGAGTGTCAGTGACAGGCAGGCAGATCCTGGCTGCCGTCGTCCCTGTTGGATTCCTCCCAGCTTTCCTGACTTTCACCTCCTTCGGAATTCCCCCTCTCGGCCGGTCCCGGAGATTCCTCGCCCCCCCCCACCAGCAGGCTCGTGGTCAGAGATCAGGACAGGATCGTCGGGAAGGACGGACGGGGGGAAAGATGGAGCCCATGCCCACAGCGGGCTCCGGGGAGCCCAAGGAGAGGAGGAAGATCCAGTTCTCGGTACCGGCGCCTATGCCCAGCCAGCTGGACCCGAGGCAGGTGGAGATGGTGAGTGTGCAGCCCTCTGTCTCGTGAGAGTTTGCTTTGGCTATTTCTGCTGGACTTTTGCAATGCTGTGCAGCAGGCTCTCCAGTGCTATACCACATCTGTTTCTCTGATTAAACGGCTTGAGCCACCCTCTTTCTCCCTCTGACACATGCTGATTAAGCCACGATGCTCCTAGGCGAGCTGTCATAAGGGCTGTGCTGTGGTCATGTCGACAGAGAACTGGTAGGTCGGAGGTCAGTCTTTACAGCAACAGAAAGCCAAAGAATCAGCTCTCTGCGTATAGCAGGTCCTGTAGGTATGCCAGCCTGTTCTTCTTGCTCTTTAGTTTTCTCTCAGTTTCCCACACGGTACGACGCAAGACAGCTGTAGTGGAACGAGACTTCACGCAGGTATCGCCAAAGAATTTGTTGGAAAATGTTCCTTGTCGTTTTTTTTCATGTGTGGAAAACACGTTGGATGTCTCTCTCTGTCTTTCCAAGACCTGCCGTGTTTTTGTTGGAAAGAAACGGACCGTAAAAGCTCCCTCTTCCTCTCTCTCTCTGGGAGACCAAGAGACTTTTCCCTTTCGTCTTAAAGGGACGTACTATATCTGAAGCGGGGACTTCTAAAAGTCTCTCCAGCTCGTTCCCTGTGCTGGTCCCAGTGCTCAGGACCCACGGCCCAGCACTCCCACAGAGGCAGCTCTCACGCAAGCAGCAGGCGAGCCCTGTCAGCTTGCTTCAATTCTAGACAGGCTGGGAAGGGAGAGGTCTCTGGAGGCTGCCGCCGTGATGCGCGGTACCTGTCAGCTTGTCTGCGATATCGCTTTCACCCGTCTCTCTCCAGGACAGGCTTTTTTTTACACAGCGTTGCGCTGGTGAAGCGAGATGCATAACAAAGAATCCAGCTGGGACACTCAAGGCATGAGACCAGACACCCTTTATAATCTGCCTCAGTTGATCCTGAGTCTTTCATATTTTGGATTTAGGTCTGACAAAAAAGAGCAAGTCAGACTTCATATGCTGGGCCTTCATTCTGTATCAGTTTGGTTGCGAATCCTATCATGCCTTTGCAGGGAGAGAGTTCAATAATTTTAATAGAGGCACTGCTGACAGGTGTAATGTGACAAGTGTTAAGAACTCCTAATTAATTAGAGAAGGGATTTCTGTCAGATGTCGGGTGCCAACACTTATCCTGGTGACTGTCAGCCTGTTTGTCTA